TGCCTCCCAAGCACAAGCAATTCTTCTGCCTCAGCCTTCCGAGTAGCTGGGATTATAGGCACACACCACCACACTCAGCTAATTTTTATATTTGTTAGTAGAGACGGGGTTTGCCATGTTGGCCAGGCTGATATTGAACTCTTGGCCTCAAGTGATACGCCAACCTTAGCCTCCCAAAGCGCTGGGATTGTAGGTGTGAGCTACCATGCCCGGCCAAAGATACCTTTCAATGACAATTTGAAGAAGTTCTAGATTTTTGGATGTCAATACCATTTGTCAATTATCATGTCTAATTTCACTTAATATCAAAAGGTTTGAGTTTTCTTTTCCTTGACTCAGAAGTTCTGTGCTGTTCTTCTACTTCTTGGATGTGAAGAATATGTATGTATGTGGGTGTGTCCCCCACCCCCAGCTCAGAGAGAAAGGAGAGAGAAGAGAGCTTATTTCCATGGATAACAGGAAACACTGGGGGACAAAAAGGAAAGGAAAGAGGGGATGGAGCCTCACCCCACAGGCCAGTGAGGAACTGGCCAGTCTTTGGGGTGAGGAAGGATGCTTACCTGTGTGGTGGGAGGTGGCAGCACTTTCTCAAAGTTCTCTTGAAAGGAGTGAAGCTGCTTACTTGTCCGGCCCAGTGTGTCCCCCACCAGCTTCCTGAAGGCAGGCTCTGGGACATCGTGGTGGGGCAGCTAAGTGGGGACAGACACTGTCAACAGAGCTTTGGGCAAGAAGGGACAAGGAGATCCCTGGCTTGGTTTGGATTTCTGTTACTTTCAATCCAAGGAGCTCTCAGGAACGCTCTGTCCTGAGACCTTGACCCTGTGCAGGATCTCTTGCATTTTCATCAGACAACCTAGGAGTGAGTGAGACCCCACAGCTTGTCACCAAACTCACAGCTTGTCACCAAACTCACTGCTCTCAGTGCTGACCTAGAGCCTTCCTCCCACCAGCATGAAGGGAGATTGAGGTTTCTGCCTGCAGCCTTTCCCAGGCCCCACAGGGACAGGCCAGGTTCGTGGACCACAGGACACAGATAAGGCAGGCTGGCAGCTGTCACCAGCAGACTCTGACAGGACCAATCAGGAAGCACCCTTACTTTCTGCTTTTATAAATGTGACCAGCTCTCTACTGGCATCCCCAAACACTCCCCAGCTCTGCACATCCCAGCTTTAACACAAGGGGTTGAGGCAGCCTAAGAGAGAAAACTTCTAGGCTAGAAGAAAGGAAAAAGATCACCTCATCAGATTTACTCTTCTGCCCTCAAGGAAGAGAAACACTTCTTTTGCTGATGGTTCAGGCCTAATTCAATTTGCAAAGAGTGTCTGGGACAGAACTCTGCAAGGACCAAAAAGAGGAAAAGCTTGCAGTCCCAGCCCCCCTGCTGGAGGAGAAACACATCTATGGGTCCCTGCAGCAGAAGGCAGGCTCCGGAAAGTACTGAACACAGTCCCATCCACAGGGCTGCTGGAGAATGGAGGAGAGGGAGGTGACTTCTCCCCACCAGGGGATGGGGAGCTCTGAGAGCTTCATGGAGAGACTCATTCATCTGTCACTTGTATGGGGAGCTCCTACTCTATGCCAGACACTTAAAGTGCTGAGGGACAATGGAGAGGGGCATTCGAAGCCAAGACAGGCATCTGTGCAGAATGGCTACATTCAGTAGCTGTGTGCTGGAGGGGAGGGCTGTGGGCTGCAAAGGGGATAGGGTGGGGAAGGCAAATCTTAGTAGAATTTTCATGCAAAGGATTGGATGGGGAAAAGCTGAGCTGGAGACGGTGATACACAGGAGACAGTGTGTGACATGAGAAGTATTGAAACTCCTCCCAAGGTTGGACCCACCAGCAATTCAGCTCTTATGTTTACATCTGAGAGCAAAATCTGGAATCAGGTGGGTATTTTTCCCTATACCACTAAACACTAAAACCAAGTTTGCATTTGGAGGTTTAGCCAAACCTCTGTGGAACCTATTTACGCTTTCAACCGGTAAGTAGCTCCTTTTACAGGCTCTTGAGTGTTGTGGTTCAGAGCCCAAGATCTGGAGCTGAACTGTCAGAGTTCAAAGCTTGCTATTAGCCGTGTGGCCCTAGACAAGCTACTTAACCTCTCCGTGCTTTGGGTTCTTTATTTTTAAAATGAGAATAATCATACCTACTCTGTAGGGTTGTTGTGAGGGTTGAATGAGCTCATCCAAAGTACTCATGAGAAGAGGGCTGCTAGAAGTAGTAACACCGGCTTGAGACATTTACTCCTGACTGTGTAGACGCGACCTTCCATCTCTGTCACCAGCTTCTAGCACACTTCAGAGATCAATCCCAAGGTCTGCTATTGTACCAGCAAAGCTTCTGCTTCTGAGTTGCAGGACTTGGGAATGGTCTGGAATCTCAGTCCTATCCTTGCTTTCATGGTCTGACTTCACTAACAGAGGAAGACTAGGCATGAGAGAGATCTGGAAGGTGCCCACTGCCTCCTCCTAAGAGCCTGATGCCTCCCTCCCTCCTAGCCCTACACACAGCTGGCTGATGGGGCTGCAGGGCCTGCCTGGCTATTCCCCACAGGTGTCCCAGCTCCAGCGGCCTTACCTGGGCCATGCTCCCCTCTGCCCTCTGCAGCACTTGCTTTGCAAGGTCCCTCTGGAGGGTCACGAATGTGCACAGGATCTGGCCCAGCCACTGCATGGCCAGCTGGTTAAACTGTGGGAGCTCAGCCACCAGCAGGGAGTTGAGTGCCTGGTACGTGTGCCGGGTGGCCTGCTCCTCGTAGGTCACACTGCCCACCTCCAGCAGCTTCTCTTCTACCCGCTCAAAGTCCAGTAGCTTGTCCAGACGCTTCTTGATCAGGTTCTGAGGGCCGAGCAGGGCTTTGGCCAGGCTGCACAGTGGCTGCCACACCAGGCCTTCCAGCCGCTGCTTCTGCAAGGAGAGGTGAGCAAGGGAGTTGGGAAAGGAGGTGGCAGAAAGCAGGGGCTGTGAAAGGGGCTTTGGAAGCATGCAGGCCTGGGTTCCAGTCTAAGCCCCACCGACTAGCTGGGACCTTTAGCATGTTATCTAACTTCTCTGGGCCTCAATCTGCCTATCTGAAAAATGGGGATGATACATGTAATAAGCATAACAGAGTGCCTGGCACAGAGTAGGCATTCAATCTTATAGAGCACTTCCAATCATTATTATACAAAGATCTTGAAAATATATATATTTATTTTTTTGAGACAGGGTCTTACTCTGTCTCCCAGGCTGTCTCCCAGTGACATGATCATAACTCACTGCAGCCTACCTGTCAGGCTCAAGTGATCCGCCTTGGCCTCCCAAGTAGCTAGGATGACAGGCACATGCCACCACACCCAGCTAATTTTATTTATTTATTTTTTTTGTAGAGACAGGGTCTCTCTATGTTGCCCAGGCTGATCTCAAACAACCGGGCTCAAGCAATCCTCCTGCCTCGGCCTTCCAAAGTCTTGGGATTATAGGTGTAAGCCACCTTGCACAGCCTTAGAAAATATTTTGTACAGAGTGGTGGTCAAGAGTCTTTGGGGCTCAGATCCCAGCTTACCACTGACCATATAAATGACCCAGGAGGTCATCCTACCTGAGCCTCAAGCTCCCATCTGCAGGATGGGGCTATTCATAGTAGCCACTCCCAAAACCATATGGTGAGGATTAAATGATGTAAGGAATATAAAGGGCTTAGTATAGAGTCTGGCAAATAGTGAGACTCAATAAATGTTAATGGGGTCTATTTTTTTTTTTTTTTTTTGAGACAGAGTCTCACTCCCTCACCAGGAGGCAGGCTGGAGTGCAGTGGCGCGACCTCTGCTCACTGCAATCTCCATCTCCTGGGTTCAAACAATTCTCCTGCCTCAGCCTCCCGAATAGCTGGGACTACAGGCACGTGCCACCACGCCCAGCTAATATTTTTGTATTTTTAGTAGAGACGGGGTTTCACTATGTTGGCCAGGATGGTCTCGATCTCTTGACCTCATGATCCGCCCGCCTCCGCCTGGGGTCTATTTTTATCAGTAAAGTGCACTGATAATAATCTCTATGCTGCTGACCTCTCAGGAAGATTACAGATGTGACAGCTGCATAAAATGCCTGACTTCTAAATACTATTCTTGTAAGTTCTACCACCTGCCTAACAAAGAAAGAAGAAAGGAAAAGTTCCACTCACAAACTTCAGGAAGGCCTCCAGCTGAAGGTCTCTTGCCAAATTGCAGTACTGCACTGCAGGCCCCTCGGGAATGTCCAGACTGTATTCGTGCGGCCTGAAGCAGAGGAAAGCCTGGACCCAGTACCAAGGAGAAACATCCAATCATGGGCTGTTGTGGCCATCTTAGGCTGGAATCCCCTTCCACCGTACCTCCTGAAGAGGTTGTCCAGGCTCTCTACACACCCCAGAGGGACACAGCTTAAGTGATTAGAAAGTTCTGCCTTAGGCTGAGCCGGCCTCTTTCTCCTCATTCCAGTGCTTCTTGAACTTCACACATTTGCATCCATCTTTGTGGGTTTTTTTTCTCTTTTTTTGAGACAGCATCTTACTCTGTCACCCAGGCTGGTGTGCAGTGCAGCAACCTTGGCTCATTGTAACCTCCGCCTCCCAGGTTCAAGCCATTCTCCTGCCTTAGCGTCCCAAGTAGCTGGGACTACAGGCATGTAACACCATACCCAGCTAATTTTTTTTTTTGTATTTTTAGTAGAGACAAGGTTTTACCATGTTGGCCAGGCTGGTCTCGAACTCCTGATCTCAAGTGATCTACCTGCCTCAGTCTCCCAACCTCCCAAAGTGCTATGATTACAGGCGTGAGCCTCCACACGTGGCAGTAGGTTTTTTTTTCATGTCCATATTTCACATGTTCTATTAATGTTTTTCTCTAAATCAATTAACCTTTTCTATTTACATCAATGCATTAAAAAAAAAAAAAAACACACACACACACACCTTACAATGCTACCACAAAGGGAAAGCCAGCAATAATCACCACAGATAAGCATATAAAATAATTGCTATAAAAACAAAACACTGTCATTACGTTCTCCTGTCTGGATATCATTCTGAAATGATACTCAGCCTGAAACTCATTCTGTATGTGTTAAAGGAATACCAGCAAGTAGGCTTTTCCTGGATTCAGTCAGAGGGTTAAAAGAGGGAATCCCTCACTAATGACAAGATTCCATGTTAACTCCATATCTGTTGTGTAAGTCCTGCGTCTACAGAGAGGCAGCCTTAACATTTCCAAACAGTCATCCTGCTCGGCAAAGCCGGAGGTATCTCTCACGTCCCTGTGGTAACCTCTCTCAAAGCCCAATACTTCTGGTGGCAGCCAGAGACTGGATGACCTCATCTGGTTGGTTTCTGAGGCCCCATACTTGTAGGCCCACCTTTCTTTTTCGTGCCTTGGCTCTGAGCATCTTCCCCTCCTGCTTGCTGTGCTGTAACAAGATCCGGGCTGTTCAGACCCTGCCACCGGGGGTGCCCACCATGGAACATGAACGAGCAGTGAGATTGACCCACACAGAGAAGCGTGGAGCTACACTCTCCTTCCTTTACATATTTCAATAATGCCACCCCACACCTCATTATCCAAAGGGCCCATCATCATCTCTGACTGAGCTGGTTTGCACAAATGTACGTAATTAAAAACAAAACCACGCAGGCTGGACAGACTGAGCCAGCAATGATGCTAAGAATCAAGGCAGGATTTGGGCTAGAGGAAACTGACGTTGCTGGAGAGTCAGGCAAACTGGTGGGTCTATGGGCTGAATTCAGTTTGTAGAGATATATTTTCTTGGGCTTTCACAGCATTTAAATCTTCATTTAATTAGTTGCTCACATTGACACATCAGGAGATGTCATCAAAAATCTGGAAAATACCTGAATTTCCAGTTTTGTTTTTCTTAAAGTCAGAAGAACTGGGCCCAGATTCCCACCTAGCACCAACCCACAGAGCTGAATAATAGCTGCTCCTTTAGATTTGATTTATGTATTCATTCATTCATTCATTCAGCCCTTCAAATTCCAAATACGATTTTATATGTAAGTCCACTGAAAAGCCTCATAAACAACCTGTTACACACTACACTCCATTGCACTGGATTGCCTATTGCCCGCACACTTCACTCAGTAGCATTACCTGCCTGGCCCCTTCAGGCACCTGAGTTTGTCTCCCCTGCTCTAGGTGCTGGTCTGGCAGGGTCACTCTGAAGGACTCTGGTCCTAGTGAATTTTGACCCTACCTGGTAGGAATCCCAGTGGGCTCAGAAGTTGCCCCCCCCCCACCCCCTGTCTAATGACCTGGGGCTGAGGAGTGCTGCCGAGCATTCTTCTGGTGGCAGCCTGAGACTGGATGACCTTCCCCAGCTTGTAGGCTGGGCCCTGCAAGCCTCCTGCCGGGGGAACCCAGCCCAGACTCGCCCTTTATGAATGCTGCAGGGTCCTCACCTGCAGGTTGTCCAGGTAAGCAGCCACGTTGTTCTTCAGCTCAGTCACACACAGAGACACCCATTGGAACCTCTCTTCTAAATCATCAAATTCCTTGTCTTCTGTCTGAAAGTAATGTGTGTGAGGGCTGAGAATATCCACAAGGGGGCAGTGTACACCGGCTCCAGTGTCCCAAGTCCTCCCTGGAACAACCTTTCCACAGGCTTGCCCACCAGAGCAGGTTCTCACAGCCCCGAAGCTCAGTCGATAGTGTAGCTCAGGGGTTTTGCATTCAGAGCATGGAATCAGATACATAAGCATGAGCCTTAGTTCATTGACTTCCTAGTTGTGTGACACCAGACAAGTGTTTCACCGTCTGAGCTTCTGTTTTGTCATCTTCAAAATGGGGATAATGGGAACGCCTATTTCACTGGGTGAGCCTGCTTGGTTCAGAGCAGGCACTCCGCCAACCTGAGCTGCTAGAAGTAGCTATTTGGGGCCGGTTCTTTGCCCAGACTCAGAGATCAGCTCTCCTATCTGTGTAAAGAGGCCCCAGAGAGAGTGGCCCAAAACACTGGAGAAAGCCCTCCACTGGCTCTTCAGAATCAAGTGGGATGCCATCTCTGCCTCTTCCCAGCACCTCACTCGCTTGGCCTCTGTTGCCTCAGTTCTGTCTACCCCGTGCACAGGGCCTGGCCTCAGGGCTGGCTGTATGGGACTCTTCCTCCCAGGCCCATGCTCACCCTGGGGATCAGCCCCGCCTCCTGCTTCAGCAGCTGGCTCAGCCGGGTGGTCTTCTTGGAGAAAGTGTGTGTGTTGATGCGGGCCAGCCGCTCCCAGAGGGTCAGCTGCTCTACCTTGGTGTACTTGGAGGCTGCACCAACAGAGAAGAGGGGAAGCACGGTGACCAAAGCCGACCCAGGAAAGCAAGCGTCATGGACATGCCTAGCTGGGCACCTGCTTGGGCCCTCTGCTCCAACAGGGTCACATTCATCAGGTTGGAGAGTCACACAGGAAAAGCACAGGGTCCTCTGTTCGAGGTGTGTGCCCTGGCTGAAGAGCTTCCTGCCTGCTTGACTTTGGCAAGTCACCACTCCTTGGAGCCTCAGTTTCCTCATCTGTAAAATGGGACCAGCCACCTTGCAGGATTGCCGGGAGAGTCACCTCAGACAGAGGGTCTGAATGGACTTCCTAAAGAACCCAGGGAGAAGAGAGTTGCCTGGAGTCCCTCAGCCAGTTTGAGCCAGGCCAGCTGGGAGCCATGCTTCCCGCTCCTGACTCAGTGCTTCCTACTGACCTGTCGTCTCTTGGCCTGGATGGAGAAGCAGGTGGGGAGGAAATCCAAAGCTGTTAAATATAGTATAGCATTGGTGGTGAAAACTCCAGGCCTGAGTTTGAAACCTGGTTCTCAGCCAGGTACGGTGGCTCACACTTATAATCCCAGCAGTTTGGGAGGCCGAGGCAGGTGGATCACGAGGTCAGGAGTTCGAGACCAGCCTGGCCAATACGGTGAAACCTTGTCTCTACTAAAAAAAATATAAAAATTAGCTGGGTATGGTGGCACGCGCATGTAGTCCCAGCTACTTGGGAGGCTGAGGCAGGAGAATTGCTGGAACCTGGGAGGTGAAGGCTGCAGTGAGCTGAGATCGAGCCACTGTACTCCAGCCTGGGCCACAGTGCAGGACTCCGTCAGACAGACAGAGAGAGAGGTGGAAGGAAGGAAGGAAGGAAGGAAGGAAGGAAGGAAGGAAGGAAGGAAGGGGGGAAGGGGAAAGAAAAGAAGGAAAGAAAGAAAGAGAGAGAGAGAAAAGAAAGAAAGAAAAGAAAGAAAGAAGGAAGGAAGGAAGGAAGGAAGGAAGGAAGGAAGGAAGGAAGGAAGGAAGGAAGGAAAGAAGGAAGGAAGGGGAAAAAAAAGAAGGAAAGAAAGAAAGAAA